CCAGTGCGATTGATCCGTGTCGTCGGATATTCCGCGTAATACACCTGGACAGCCTGTTGAGCTAATATGAAAGGTTCATTTTTCGGATACACACGCCTATGATTAACATCCACCAAGTTATGTTTGTGATCCTTTTTCATCCCCCTCACTGGATCCACCCAAGTGCATTTGAATAACACACACGATAACTTGTTGTGGCCAGTGAATGTCATTTCCAGTATTTCATCGACATATCCAAAAAAACTAGTCTCAGAATTGTCATAACTACAAGTCGACACGCTCACACCACTGTTCATAGTGGGTTTATTGTCTCCGTAAGCCCGTGTATGATATTTGTAGCCATTGACAAAATATATAGACCAACACCTCACTAGTGTTTCAGGACCCCATGCTAATGACTCCAAGAAAGGATCAACGGGAGAATTTTCAGCTTCACGGAGTATCTGCAAATGTCATTTAGTTGTTGAGTAATGATACTATAAAATTTTTAGCAAAAAAAACCTTATTGATTTACCGTAGTTTTGAACCATGCTGCAAAATCAGTGTCGATCGTCGCATCAATGACCTCATTGGAATAACCAGCTAGAGAAAGCATTTCTCTGTAATCACTACATTTTTATAAGAAAATGAAATGGTTAGAGTGTTTGTTAGTGTGGAAAATAATTTATTACGATGTGCGTTAATATTGACTTACTTGTAATACGGAATGACTTCCGGGCAGTTCATCAGAATGTAAGTTTGTGCTATTCGAAACTCGTCTCCAACAACCCGACGGTGTCTCCTTCTACCATATCCTTTGCCCGGATAGTTGAAGATAGAAACCATTTGCTCATACAATGCTGGATCAACATTATCATTTCTGACAGGCCTTTTTCGCTTAGTCATGATATCTCTTTCAAAATAGAAGGAAGAGAATGTGGAAACTTCTTCTGTGAGGTATGCTTGGCATATGGATGCTCCAACGTGTGCTTTATTTGTCACCTTCTTTTTCAGCTCTCGCAAAAATCTATAAATATTTACTATAATATTAATATATTATTTTATATTCATAACTACCTATATTCATAACTAACTCAGGGAGTTAGTAACTATCGGGAAGACAATGATCACGGGGTAACATACTACCAACTGAGTTTAATATTTTGGACATGCAGCTTTCAGAGAGGTTATATTCTGACTTTATGTTAAGAAATTCAGAAACTGCTGATAATTGTGAATGATCATAACAGTCAGAATATAAAGGTTGGTCCGCACTTTTGAGCACTTCTTGAAATCTAGTGCCTAAGTCATCCACATCATAATATGATGAGCTTGGTCCTTCATTCATATTATTGTGTGCGTTGAAATTACTATCCGTGTGGATATTTGGAAACGTAGAAGGACCAGCCAAATCATAAAGCATCTTTTGCTCCCATACCATTTCTTCATAATTTCCCCAATTAGCCATCTCATCGGGAACATACCTCGATGTTCCTACGTTTTGCGGCAAGAGCTCTGCCTCAATTGGTTCTCCTTGAGCAGTCCAGTTGTAATAGTTTTCAACAAAACCATGCGTATATAAATGCCAACAAACCTCATCACCTTCAACAAATTTGTTATTTTTACACTCTGTACAAGGACATCTTATTTTACTTCCATCAGCATAGCGTGTTTGCTCTTGTGCGAATCTAATAAATTCGTTAACTCCATTTTCAAACACTTTTTTCAATCCTCTACCATTTTCCTTGTAGCGGTCATACATCCAACTTCTAGATTGTCTATACATTGTGCCTGAATATTAAAAAATATCTTAATTAACTTTTTTTGACAGTATATCTTAACGAAATTAATTTATTAAATTGATAAGACAATGTCTCACGTTTTAAAGCTAACACTTGAATTCAATCAAAATAATTAAGACAAATTAAATAATACTGATAACAACTCATAATATGGATATGATCAAATTAATTTAAAAGCACAATGGTCGTAATTTACATACCTTAAGTACAACGATGATACCAAGTAATATAAAGTAAGAAATCCATATAGAAAACCTCCAGATATCAAGTAATATAACTTCCAACTTCTATCCAGAATTCATCATACACAAAGATCGAAAACATCATTTTCTGAGATGTAGTTTGCTTCACATCCCAACTTGGTATATTTGTAGATTTAGTAGGCACAGAAATTGGGACGGAAATGCCCCTACCAAAATGTGTTCAACGGTCCTCATTGTCTCGGATTTTGGCACGAAATAAACTTTATTTGAAATCCGGTCTTTGCGACGGTTTTGGGACGGCCAGATCCCAGTCAAACTAACGGTTACATTTTGGCACTACATTTGGGTCGGATATTTGCCACCCAACGTAACGGCTAGAATTAGGCACGGAAATAGGGACGGACAGTGGAACAGTCAAATAAGATACGGGGTTGTCTCGGAGTTTGGCACGGAAAAATTAGGCACGGATATATACCGGGCCAAATTCTAAAAATAAAAAAAAATCGTTGGGACGGAGCGGTTTCCCTGCCATATTGTCGCGGCGGTTGGCACGGATATCAACACAAGCCAACTACGTCACAGGTTTTCGGTCTTGGCACGGATGTAGGGTCGAAATGTCCGAGCCAAACGTGTTGGCACGGATAATGCCGTGCCATTGTAGTAACAAATCGACTTTTTCTGCTTTCCGTCCCTATTTCCGCGCCAAATTTGTCTGGGTTATTTTCCGAGCCAAAATCCGTATCTATAACGAGTTTTTTTGGTAGTGAATGTACAAAATAAATATTAAATAATACGTAGTATTTTTATTCAAAAAGGCCTAAAATTACATTTGAGAATATGATGAACATGCTAGTATGTTTGAATGTTAATATTCAAAAATGGTTAACATTTTTTCAATACTATATTGAAATATTTAAATATTTCAAACTAAAACGAATATCAAATAACACTTTTTCATATAACAAAATTGTTGACTAAATATAATTTTTATTTTATCATAGTGAAGAATAGATATTTTATTTTTAAAATTTAATAATATGTGTTCATTAATATAAAATTGTACTACCTCCGTCCCAAAAAAACTTCCCGGATTGACTTGGCATGCTTATTAAGAAAGTGGAATAAAGTGAAAACGTATGGTTATAGTTGTGTAAGAAAACGGTAAAATAAATGTTGGTCACACAAATTGTCCAAAAAGGAAAAGTGGGAGATATTTTTTTCAAACGGCCCAAAAATGTAAGTGAGAAGTATCTTTTGGGACGGATGGAGTATATAAAAGTTGACTGAATTTTTCGGCGTAAACCGGGTTGACTCGCCGGGTCTGGATTGACCCGTGATCCGATCATTCGTCCGGGTCAATTCCCGATCCGATTTTTATAACATAACTTTGGATGTTTTTGCTTGATTGTAATTTGTCTTGGATCAGAACAAATCATATCCGAATAGACCGGATCAGACCAGATTTGAATAGTTATAAAAATACAAGAGATAAGACTAGATCAGCAAATTACTGTCCAAGTAAAAACATCCTTTTAGATGGTGTTTAGATGGGAGGGAAAGAGAACTAGAAAAATAGGTGAAAATGGATTAAAAACTACTAAAAGTGAAAAACGGGTGATTTACCATTTTAGTTCTTTCAAATACGGAGTATTGAAAACGTTTCCAAAATCACTACAGTTTTGGTTTGCTTTGCTTCCAGTTATTAACATCCGATTGCATTTACCTAGTTAAATGTATTTACTTGATAAACAATTTATGTGCCTTACAATTGCGCTTGTAGCTCAGTGGATAGAGCATTTGTTTCCTAAACATAAGGTCGTAGGTTCAAACCCTACCTAGCGCGACTTTATTTACCATGTTGTTGTGAGATTGGTTATAAGCCATCGAAATTTGATACTTCTAAAACTATTTGTAGTGGTTAGGTATTAGGAGTCCAAAATGTTAAAGATGAAACTTTTGGATTCCTAATTTCTTACATTGGTGACTAGTTGAAGGTATTAAAAATGGAAAGGGAAGGGGAAGGTCTCAAATATAGAAGATGGATTGACAGCCGAAAAAGAAAGAAGGGAGAGAGGGGGGGTGCGTAGTGGCTGCTGGAGTGCTGGACGGTGTTGTTCTTTTAAATGAATTTGACTTCATCTTATACAAAAAAAACCTTTTTCATTTAAAGCCCGATAACTTTTTTATTTATATTCCAAATTTTACAAAAAAAATATCGAAATTTATAAAATGTTTGATCTTTCATTTGACACCAATATTGCATATATATAAAAAAAAATTAAAAAAAATCTAAAATTTTAATGCTGGAGTTCTTAGGCCAAAAAACACGAAACACGAATTTTTAATTCACGGGGCCTTTACAAATAACGGAATATTCCACTTTAGTTGAACTAAGTTCATTTTTTGTTAATAAAGAACGTTAAAAGAATTAATGAAATCTATTTATTTTTACATCGAAATGTGTCTTTTTTATTTTATAATTAATCAGAGAAAAAATTAAAAAGAAAACATTACTTATAGTAATTTAATTAATGTTTTACTAAATTGACATGTAAAAAAATATGCAGAGTGTATTTTATTGACAGTGCTGGAATGCAAGAAATAGGAGTCAAAACACTGTTTTCATATGGACGTAGTCCATTTTTGACATTTAGCCTCTTGCACCACTCCAAATGGTCTAAGAGGTATATTGTGAAATTGGGAAAACTATCAAATAAGTCCTCAAAATTGCGCAGTATATTTCAAAAAATCATTTGACTGTTTTACCGATTAAATTTTTTGCTGAAATTTGATAAAAAAAATTCCACTGGAAACCGCCCCAAATGGCGACGGCCTGACAGAGCCTCTTATAAAAGAAGTGATTTACACTTTTTATGTAAGTTCGAGGGCTTATTTGATAGTTCGCCCTTGTGAAATTGGTTAAAAGTTACAAATGCTTTTAAGTCTAGTAAATTTGATCTACAATTTCAATTGTACTTGATGACAACAATGAATATGTCAATAACTCATTCATCCCAAAATACCAACACAAATAAGTCAAAAGTGATAAAAAAGACTCATCACGCTCTCTAAAATTAAAAGATCCTAAAGACTCATCATCATCACGATCTCAAGCAACGTCTTGAGAAAAAGAAAATCATCATGATTTAAGGCGGATCTGGAGTCAAGAATTCGTTTCCAATTTCATGAACAAGTTGGATTAATTAATTTTCTTCCATTCATGTCCCACCCACCTCTCCAACCGCATATTGATCCTTCATCTTCCTATCAGAGGCGGATCATTGTGAGTGAGCTCCAACCCAGCCCAATTTTTTGTTTTGTTTTAATGTCCACCCCACCTCAAAATTGATTCGAGCCCGCCCCAAAATTAATCCCGGCCCACACCTCAAGCAAACTTACAAGGTCGAAGAGGGAGTAGCTGAGCTGCGACGGAGACACCAGACAAGAACACCAGCAAACCCGCGGCCACCAGCTCCGCTGCCGCCCGCCGTCCACGCGTCCAGGACCCTGTGTCGGACGACGCACTCGAAGCCGCTCCGACGGGCACCGCTACTCCTCTTTAACCGTCGACGACCCACCAATTCTGGAGACTTCTCCCGCTCTGCATTAACCAGCGAAAAGGAACAACAATCGTCTCTCTAATTTGTCATTATTTTCAATTATTGTATGGTTTTATTCATGGTTGATATGTTTGCTTCTTGACTGTTACTGACTGTGGGTTGATATGTTTGCTTCTTTTCTTCTACTTTTCTGGCTTGTTTCAGAGTTTCTGCTGTTGCTGACATGGTAATTAGATGGCCAAGGATGCTAACACCCACCCAACTCTCACAGATTATTCGTGAACAGAAGAACCCACTAAAAGCCCTTGAAATCTTTAATGAAGTGAAGCACAGATATCCAAAATACAATCATAATGGTCCTGTTTACGAAGCCATGATAAACATTCTAGGAAGCAATGGTCAGCTGACTGAGATGAAACATGTTATTAATCAGATGAAGGATGATTCATGCCAGTGCCATGACTCAGTCTTTGTAAGTGCAATCAAAACCTATGCAAAAGAAAAATTAATCAATGATGCGGTTTTGCTTTTCAAAAGCCTTCCACAGTTCAACTGCGTTAATTGGACTCAATCTTTTAATACTATGTTGGAAATACTTGTGAAAGAGTCTAAGCTTGATCAGACATATCACATCTTTCTTGAGAATTCAAGCCGATGGGAAGTGAAGTCTCGGACTTTTTCTTTGAATTTACTAATGGATGCCCTCTGTCAAATGAAAAGATCCGATCTTGCCTGTCATATTTTCCAAGAGATGAGCCAGCAAACCTGCTGCTGTGCAGACAAGGAAAGTTATAGGATTTTGATGAGCGGACTGTGTCAAGAAAAGCGGTTTGACGAGGCTATTCATTTATTGTATTCAATGTTCTGGAGGATTTCAGCTAAGGGCAGCGGTGAAGATGTTGTAATATATAGGACACTTTTGGAAGCGCTTTGTGATAATGGGAATTTCGATGAAGCACTTCAGGTTCTTTCAAAGGTATTGCATAAAGGGCTTAAGACTCCTAAGAGACACCGAAGGCAAATTCAATGCCACTATGATTCAGATAGTTGCCATTTGAATGCATTTATTAATGAAGCGTTAATCATGGGCTTAATTCCAAGTCATAAGAGTTTCAGGGAACTGGCAATTGGTTATTACTCCGGAGACAAGATTGATGAAGGTAACAAAGTGTTGAATGAAATGTTTAAGAAAGGGTTTAGACCCTCGTTGGAGATATATGAGGCCAAGTTGCTGGCATTGTTTAGACAACATCGGGTTAATGAGGCCATGGAGGTTGTTGACCAGGACATGGTAGGTAGCAATTGTCTTCCTAATGTTAAGTTGTATAATACTCTTATAAAAGGACTCTGTGATGAAAAAAAATCGGATTTAGCCATCAAGTATTTTGAGAAAATTCAAACGCAGCTATGCTGTGTTGCCAACAAGGAAACTTATGAGAATTTAGTTGATGGACTATGTCGTGAAGGTAGATACACAGAAGCAAGTCTTGTGCTGGACAGAATGTTGAATAATTCTTATTGGCCTAGAGTGGAAACTTTTAATGCTGTGATCCACGGTCTTTGCTTGGTAAATAGTAATTCACATAAAGCAATCATGTTTTTAGAGGAGATGGTTAGTCAAGCTAAGTTACCAGAAGCTCCTGTTTGGCAGTCACTAGTAGCATCTATTTGTACTGAAACTGCTGGAAACCGATTTCTTTATAGACTATTAGAACGATTGAGGAAGCCTTAACTATGGTCTTACTCTAATATATGTATCTAATCAATCATATCTGATTTTTTTACTATGCATGTGTGTGTCTCGCCTTGAAGAATTATTTAATAAGCTAATATTTTCCAGATGTTATTTTTCAGCTTCATGCAACCTTTGATCTGAAACTTCTTGCCATCTCATCTGTTCTCTTAAAATCCCATTCTCTTGTTATTGATAGTTCTTTCTGTGGAATTCAGTGTCATGTTTTTTTGGTAACTCAAGGCATCTCTTCTCAATTTATTTTGGTCCTTAATTTCATGTCCATAATCTGTTTTTCTTCCTTAATTTAAAACCTTAATTTATTCTTACTTGTTTTAATATCCTTGATTCTTTCTTCTTCGTTGCCTCACCTCACTATGTGGTGGTTAAAGTTTATGAGTACATGGTATTCATGTAAATTCAAGTTGCGGCCACAATGAATTCAACTCTTCTTTTACTGACCAATGGCCTCCTTACCTTACTATGAAACTGTCTTAATATGGCAAACACAAAATGAAGTGCACGGCATACATATATCTCCTTTGAGATTTAACTTTATTATTTTTTTCAGCGTGAATTTCTACTTACCTGTGAACTTAGCTTGACTAATAAAAAATGAGCATGCAATATATCTATTGTACGCGAGTATAATAATGAAAAGTAAACAACTAAAATATAGTCGTGTACTATGAATGTAAGAAAACTGGGAGAACGCTTACCTGTAACATACGTAGTACTAAAATCTACAAGTATATTAGATGCATTGAAACGGTTGTATCCACCATATATATTACAGAGTAGCAAGTCATAATTATATGAAAAAATCACTTTTAACTTATTTTATTTTATATGAAGAAGATAATAACTTAATAAGTAACAATAGGGAAGCTTATATTGTTAGTGCAAACTATGTTTTTTTCAGTAAATTATTTTAGTTCTTTAACTTGATATGTGTAAACCGTTATTTTCAATTACTTCCTGTAATACCACATTTAGAAACAATTGATTAAGCTGAAATAAGAGTGCTTTTTTATCCAATCCAACTACTTGCCTCACAAAATATTGTGGAATTTGATTGATTGAATCTATTCTCTTCTTTCTGTGAGTTATTCATTATCTCTATATTATAGTACGCCAACTGTTTTGAATGTAAGAGATAGTTTATGACTTCCTTAAGATATTGTTTTACTTATTGTGTTATTCAATTAGAAATGCGCTTTATATTTAGTTTGCTTAGATTATTCAACAAGTTCAGCAATTTCAACCATAAAATAAGAGAATTAAGCTAAGTCACACTCATCATATGAACACTTGCAGGTAGTTTGAACAACTTTGATGGCACAAGGATGTGTAAGAGCAAGGAGAGGAAAAAATACACTTGAAATTCAAATTCAAAGTGACTATGGCTTATATTTGACAATTAAAGAAAGGGTTTAAAATATGCATTAAAAAACAATATCATCGCTACATATATCGGTATGTACACAAAACAATTATCCACAAGTACACTCTAATTTATGTGAAAATTACAGATACGTACGCAGTGAACCTATCAACATTCCATAAAAGCGGAGTACAAGGTCAGTTTGCATAAAGATCATTATGTTGTCTTGGAAGTTTTCTTTCTGGCCAAGAACATGAAGATCCGAGGGAAGAAGGACCTTCTCTTTTTCTTTGTTGACTTTGTCACTTCAGAGGACGGTTCATTCTCTACACCACTTTCATGCACAAGCGAATCTTCATGACCACTTTCATTTATTCCTCCTTTTGGGGACCTATGATGAAGAGTAGATGATGTCTCCAATCCTATTCTATCTTCAATGCTAATTCTCGGGCTATTATTATTTCGGTTAATAGATTCACTGGTTTTTCTTCTTTCCTCATGCACTTCCCTCCATTTCCTCAACTCCTGTTCCATAGAAAGCTTAGCTTCCTTGGCTTCCTCGGCTTTGCGCAATGCAGCTTCTAGAACTTTTCGTTTTTCATCAAGCTCATGATTTACGTCCTCAAGCTTCTTCATGCTCTTGAGTTCTGACTCTTTGGCAACATCAATTTGAGATATAGCAGCAGTGACCCTTGTGTTTGATTCATCTTCTGCTGCATGTGCCTGTTTGCTTAACTCGTAATAGTCTTCTAAGGAAATTTTTACTCCGGTTGGTGAATCCCCTTCATTGTTTTTACGAGCGGATTCACTCTCTTCTAGTACATCCATAGCTGCCAGTGCTAATTTCTCTGAAGCCTTTGCAGCTTCTATCTCTTTATGGACTGAAAGTAATTGGCTCTCTATTGTATTCTGCCCTGCCTTTGCCTGCTCTGCTTCTTCCTTTGCCCTACATAGCACTGCGTGTGTTGCTTCAGCAAGAGACTTTGCCCGTTTTGCATCTTGAGAAACCACCTGCAACTGCTTTGTACGCTCCACCATCTTTTCTTTTGCTTCTTTCTCTTTTATAAGTGCTAGGGAAATTGCTGATTTTGTTCTATTCAACTCTGCTTCAATAGATGCGGCAGATATGGATGCCATTTCTTCTCTTTGTTGAGCAGTGACGAGTTCTGCTTTTTCTTTTTCCAGTTCTGACTTTAACGTTGTGGTGGTCACTTTCAATAAATTCACTTCGGTAGCTACCTTCTCCACTTGAAAGTTCACTTCTTCGATCTCCCTTCTGGTTGATTCCACCGCTGCTTGTATTTCACAATGAGTTCTTTTCCCATCGGTTCCCTGCTGCTGAGGTTTTGTTTCCATATAAGCAGCAAGTTCTGCTTTCAAGTCATGTAACAAGGACAAAGAAGTGTCTAGCTCTGACTTGAGATTCTTTGCAGAAAGGATCTGTTGGTTTAACCTCTCGATTTCAACTTCAGCCTTCTTCACTTCTTCCTCCCAGTAAAGAGTGTCTCGCTCTCTGTCCAGATCCGCTCCAATTCTGTGATCCTCCGCCTCTAGATGTGCAGCATGTGCTGCCTCCAGAGATTGCTTCATTGTTATTAATTCGACTGTCAGGTCCTCAACCAACTTCTCAACTTCTTTCGATTCAGAAATGGCTCCGTCTGCCTTCTTCACCGCCGCGTCTCTCTCAGAAACCAAAACTGTGTAGTCCTCACGAAGTTGTTCTAGCTCAGACCTCACAGTTTGGAGTTCATACACTGCAGATGCATGTCGGGCTTTGGCGACCTCGAGTTGGGCTTTGGTTGCTATGCTAGCCTCATCCGCAATTCCTTGCTCCATCTCTTCGACTCTCAGTTTCGCAAGTTCAGAATCTTGTCTAGCTTGTTGTTCTTCTGTTTTCGCTCTCTCTAAGTTAAGCTTCAGTTCTTCTATAAGCCTTCTGGTGCTGTCTAACTCCTTCAGGGCTTGGACTTTTGCTTCTTCAGAAGATTCATACTGTTGTTTGAATATTGGAATTTCCTCCTGCAGCTTCTCTAGCTCCTGGTCAATACACTTCCGCCTCTGTATAATCAATAACTCACTTAATTTTAGAAAATGATCTGTTTATAATAAGAAAAACTGTTATAGAATCAACATGTACAGATAAATAACTAGATCTTTTGAGATATCACTATACCTCCACAGTCTGTTCTCGATGAGCCTTCCAGTCAACAATTCCTCCGAATTTAGAAACAGCATGTTTCACAGATTCAATGGGCATTGCGGTGTCAATCTGAACTCTGTTTATCCCACCATTATCGGAGTGCTTAGATGGGAAAGAGGCTGACGGTTTAGCCGTGAAGGTGGAGATTTTGGCTAGGCGTCGACTAGCATCATCATCCGATGCCAGTAAAAGAGTGGAAGCTTTGGTTAATGGTTGATCAATGTCATCTAATGACACTGATTGAATATGAACTTCTGATTTTTGTTGGCCGATGTCACCTGACATTAATGATGAATTTGAAACTTTTGCTACAGGCTGATCAATGCTATCTGGTGTCACTAGATGATTGGACACCTTGTCTAGGGGCTGATCACTAGAAACCTTGTCTAGGGAATGATCACCAGAGACCTTGTCTAGGGGATGATTACTGGAAACCTTGTCTTGGGGTTCATCATGGTCATTTAGTGACACTAAATTATTGGAAACATCATCTTGGACATGGCCACCAAAATCAGGTTGCACTAATGGATTCAAACTTTCATCAGATACCCTCACTTCAGGGGGGAGAGTGAAATAATCTTCATTACTGTTGTCTTTGTTAGGAGAAACTATAATGTCTCCAAGTAGATCTATAGAGGGATTCAGTAGTACTGCAACATATTCTTTTGGCTTTTCCTCTTCAAGCATTGACTTCTCTGAATCGGCCAATACTAAAGGTGATGCATCTATAAATGGTTCTAATGTTTCAGCTGGTTTCACATGTGATGGAGATGATGGAGGCATCAAAGTTAAATTTCCTTCTAATATGGATAATCCACTCTGGTCTTCTCTTGGTTGATATGATATGGAGTTGTCAGCATAAGAAACTTGTGTTCTGGATTCCAAATCTGGTTTGATATTTTTTTCGGTTTCAAATAAACTCTTTATTTCATCTTCATCCTTTGGCAATGAGACTTCAGTAACATGTAATGACTCTGAAGGATTGTTTCCTTTTGTATTGTCTGCTTCCTCCATCCTTGTAAAATGTTGAGTTGACCAAAGTTAAAGAAAGTACCTGATTTCAAAGTAAAACCAGAGAGTTTTGAAAAGCAATTTAAAGTATAAATAGGTTGTTATTGAAAAAAATTAAGAAGCAAATTAGTGACAACTATTATGAATCATTGTGTTGCTTTCTCCATCTAGGGAAGGGTGGATATTATCACATAGATACATATGGAGTCCAGTCAGGGGCAGAGCTAGTGGAGGGTCAGCCCTGACACAACCCAAATTTTAAAAATGTCTAAATTTTAAGTGTAAAATATTTCATGTAATTGTTTTTCATATTCTTTGTATCGGTCCAGTCTAGCCATCCTGGCTCCGCCTCTAAGTCCAATGTAGGAAGAAACTAATCTAGTTGATAGATTATGAAATGAGATTGACGTATAACGAAAAATAACAGAACAATTAAGTTGATTTCTGTACTCTAAATCAATGCATCAAATATTGCATGGCAATAACCTTAAAAATCTGCATTTTTGTAGGCATTTGGAGTGTTTCTCTAAAACTATAATTGACCCTCCTTGCTTCTTTCGTTTCAATATGCAGGCATTTTTTTTATCTCTTTCTCTTTTGATTTGAATTAATATATCCATTGAATAGAACAATCACAAATTCACAATAAACTACAAATTTGTAATTCCAATATATAAATAAATTCCCAGATAAAATTAACATATAAATGATCAAATAGGCAAACATTAAAAGCCCCAAATAAGGCTAATTATTTTCAAATCATAAGAGAAGGGTATATAATATCATACCAAAAATTAAAGAAATAAAATGCAGAAGTCACAAAGAAGCTTGAGAAAATTTGGATCTCCTCGTGTTTCTCTACAGCCAACTCCATATGTTTCTTCCGGAACTGAGTCAAAATTAGCTCTTGACCGGGGAAAGAGATGGCTAAATGCAAAGTTGAGAGGAGGATTATTAAACCAAACCAAAAGAATAATTATTTCGGTTTCTGCTAGAAATTCCTTGTTGCTTTTTGTTTTTTTGTTCCCCCATGAAGAAAGAGGATGTGTGGCTTACAAAGCATGAGCCTCTGCTTTTCCGACCACAAAGAAATATGCGACTCATAATACTCTGTTCCTAGGGTCCATTTGAAAGTGCAAAGATAAAGTACACATTTGTATTCCTGTCGTATATGAAATCGATTGATAGGAGACTCTCTCTGGTTATCGCGATTTGGAGCGGTTTCCGGTGGAATTTTAGAACATCTTATTAATCAAGTCTAGTTTACTCATACCAAATTTCAGCTAACAATTCAATCGGGAACACATTCAAATTAATTCTTGAAGATAACTGCGCATTTTTGCGTTCTCGAATTAATTTGAATGCTTTCCCGATTGAATTTTTAGCTAAAATTTGGTATGAGTAAACTAGACTTGGTGAATAAGATACTAAAAATAAATCATAAAAAAACTCCACCGGGAAGTGCCCCAAATCGTGACGGCCGTACAGAACCTCCTATAGAAGGAATTAATTGACCTTTTTATGAAAGTTCGAGGACCTATTTGATAGTTTTTCCATCACTTGATTCATATGCTAAAAAACAGGGTAACGACTTGTAATGCTCAATTTTTCCCTTAAACTAAAAAGAATTTCAAATGACATTCTGAACTCGATAAAAATATTCAAATTTCACTTTTTGCAAGTCATGATCCGGTCATTGCCACGTCATCCGGTAAGGTACAAACTTTGCATCTCACACAGCAATTTAAGGTAGGGGTGGGATCAGGATGATCCCGATTGCTCAAATCCCGATCCCGTCCCGATTAAGTCGGGATCCCGACATTAAAATCCCGATTAAGTCGGGATCCCGCTTAATCCCGACAATGAAGTATCAAACATAAAATTATGTAATTTCTTTAGTTAAACACTAACTTTGATATTTAATGGTTTCAAGATTATTCTTTGTTCATTGTTATACCATATTTATCATCATCTACTTATAAAATTTATTGTAATAATTATCATCACAAATTCATACTAGTACATACTTTTAGAATAATTTTTATTTGAAACTTCAATTAATTAATAGTATAATTTTTGAATAAGCTATCAAGGCTTAGTGAAACTTACTTCAAACATTATATAAAAATCACTAAAAGAAGGATGTGTAACGTATATTATTTAAAATTCAAAACTAAGTAGACTCATTCAGAAACTTTGTGACCAATGATTATAATGTATAAATACATATTATTATTATTATTATTATTATTATTATTATTATTATTATTATTATTATTTACTAAAGAAAAAAAATCTTAGTCTCGATCATGATTTTTAAAAGGTGCATCAGAACTGCAAAATTTGTAATATTGTTGTGATTTAGATTGTCGGGATCAAGAATAATCTCTATTTAGTTAGGATTCCGAATATTCATTTTGGAACAAATGCCAAATAGTTTTAGAAGTTTGATATTGTAAGATACTCGTAGTAAAAGATTAATCTATGTAAGGAATAAGTAATTAATAAAGATATGAAATTATTTAGCTACATATTCATTTTTATAAATGTATATTCATTTTTTTATATTCATATATAATTCTATACATGTATACTCCCTCCGTCCCGCTATTAACTTCCTGCTTTCCTTTTTGGGCCGTCCCAAAATCATCTTCTCATTTCCCTAAATGGAAAGTTATTCTAAATCAAAACAGTGTCAAACATTGCAAAACAGTGCCAAACAGTGTCTAAACAGTACTAAACAGTGTCTAAGCAATGCCAAACAGTGTCTAAACAGTACAGTCAAATTTATTTCCTAAATATGTGTGTAGGTCAAAGTAGAAAGTTAATAGCGGGACGGAGGGAGTATTATATATAAATATATATACATATATGTATGTATATATATATATATATTATATATATATATATATATATATATATATATAATGTCGGGATGCCGGGATTTTCCCGATCCCGACTTTTTAAAAAAAAAAAATCCCGGTCCCGTCCCGACTTAGTCGGGATCGAGAAAAATTCCCAACTAGTCGGGATCGGAATTGTCGGGATCGGGATTGTCGGGATCGGGAGTTTTTTCCCAACCCTAACTAACACCTCCAAACATTTAATCCAAACAGGCCGTAAACGTACCATGACATAAACGAAATACGGTTGATACTTGATATAAGGAGACCGCCATCCACTAAAGATTTCTTATCAAGTCCATGCAAATAATAAGAATCAGTAAATCTAATGAGGTATAATGTATTTATGTACCTTATACTTTAGAAATTAATACTCATAACTCATAACTCATAAGCTCTTGTAGAAATTAACAACTCATAACTCACAAGTATGGATGGACCGGTTCCGGTTCGGGCCCGGCCGGGCCTCGGTTCAGAAATGGGAGGCCCGGAACCGGCCCGGGTAATCCCGGGTCCGGGACGGGCCGGGCCTCGGTTCTATTTTTTTTTTGGCTTTTCCTAATTAACCCCCAACCCTCCCCCCTCACCTCCAAACCACCCCAAACCACCTCAAATGGCCCAAAATACCAAGCCCAACCCAAAAACTTAAAAAAAAATCAAAAAAAAAATTAATTTGGCCCGGACCGGGCCCGAACCGGCCAGGCCGGTTCGCCAATCAAAGGGCCCGGGCCCGAACCGCACAGTAACCGGGCCGGGCCGACCCAAACCGCCCCCGAGTCCGATTCTCGGGCCGGGCCGGTTCAAACAGTAACCGGGCCGGGCCGGGCCGCCCGGCTCGAGTCCATCCCTACTCACAAGTTCTTGATACTTGATAGGGAGGAGTTGATTTCACGCCAGTCCCACAGACCGGGCCAACTTTATGTCTACGTATAGGATAAGAATATGAAAGCCCACTCAATTCAATGTAATGAACTGGACCTAAATAGGGGTTTTTATCCAAATGCAATAGTCAGGTACTCAGGCGACGGGAAACCACACTTAGGGCATGTTTACTTGTGACTTAATGAGCTTAATGGAAATATGGACTTATTCGCTCAGTCATATAGTGGTGTTTACTTGTGAGTTGTGACTTAATGAAAACCATGACTTGTTTGCTCAGTCATTTTAGGACTTATTGATTCAGCACAATTTTAATACTCCTTAGCATTCAGACGTAACTTTACATCAGACTTCTCTTTTATAACCTTGCCTAGATTTATCGCTGCGGCACATCTCACCTGCGAGCTTCAGCCATCTGCGAGTTTCACCCATCTGTGGCATATCCAAGATTGAACGAAAGCCTTTGCCTCGTCTCGATATTGTACTGATTCTCTTCATTGTCTTTGTAAATTTGAAGCAAAATCTGAAAATCTTGTTCTTCTGAGAACTCTTCCATATCTAGGTGTCAATTATTTTGTAATTTTTGCATTCGCATTACGAATCCATTTGAATTTGATACGGTAAAATAGGGCTTACGAATCACTTAAAAATCTAGATGTTGGAACATAGTAAGCTTCTGGTAAAATAGGGCTGTAAAGTAATTGGATAGTGCTCTCGTCTTTGTAAAATGCTCTCTGCTTTGTAAAATAGGGCCGGGCCGGCCGGACATGCTCTCTGCTTTGTGGAACTGGAATTTGGATAGTGTTTAAGATTTTGAAATTGAAATTACTTGGAAAAAGCTAAATTGTTTAAGGTGTTGATTTTTTTTTTGGAGAATTTAAGGTGCTGATTGAGGAAAGGGGAGCAACTGCTAGTTTTAGCTTTTCCCAGATCGTAAATACAAAATCAGTAAAAAGATAATATAGATTCAGCACTTCTTACATGCATAAGGATAAATTGGTAAAATGACATAATTCAGACTATACATTCAATACACATAGTAAACAGCTTGTTATACTAGTGTCACTTATTCCAAACAGACGTCTTAATACTGACAGACGTCTTAATCCAGACAGGACTTAATAGAAAAAAAAAGTAAACAGGACCTTACTTACTCGTAAAAATTGAGTGTGTGTGAAGAAAGAGAAATAGCACCAAAAGTTTCAATCTAAATATAAATAAAGGCAGTATCAAGTCTCATCTGTTTAACAAAATCTCCAAAACTTGAAACATCAAAACTAGGTAACAAACCAAGAAGTCCAAAAAAGAAAGGGTACATTAATGCAACGTGGCTTAAGCAGTAGCAACAGATGGCTTAGAAGTAATAGAGAGTTTGGACCTCTTCTTGGCCACACTCTGACTGCGCCTCTCCCTTTGCTCCTTCAGCCTACTGGCAAGCAACTTCTGGTATTCCTGAGCCTCTGTCTTAGCCTTGGCAATCCTTTGCTTCTTTTGAGCAATTCTGGCCCTCTTCCTCTGGAGGGTCAACGGAGTGACCAGCCTCTGTATTTTAGGAGCTTTGCTAACCTCCTTCCCTGTCATCATTACACAGTCAAACTCAGTTAGCCATACAAAACCTTTTGACCACTTGCTGCTTCAGTCTAAGTTTTATTAATAGAAGGCTTAAGCACCAAGGCTTTTTCAAACCATCCCAAGCAAACTCATGGGAACGCCAAATTTTAGGATCTAGAATCCAGTATCCAGAGCGAATTAATATCAAATAAAAGCTGAAAATACAAATAATAATGATATGAAGTATTACCCTTTTTATTAGTAAATGTCCTGCGGTACGTGTTGACATACTTCCTGACATCATCTTCCTTGGACAGGTTGAAGAGCTTCCTAATCTTTGATGCTCTTTTAGGACCCCTCATCCTTGGCTTCTCAACATCAGTCAATCCAGGAAGGTCATTTTCACCCTTCTTCACAATGACCAAATTCAGAACTGAGAGGTAAGGACTGACAATGCACCCACGTACTGATTTTCTTCTCCTCTCACCATCACGCCTTCCATAACCCCGGAAACAAGGAGTACCTACTCATTCTTAACAATGTTAACTGCAAATACAGATTATCAATAAGTAAGGCTTCACAATTAGACATGATTTGTGGGAATACCTCTAGGCAATAAAAGGCGAACACGGTTTGGAGTCAAGACTCCTTGCTTCATGGGAAATCCTTGTTTGTCACATCCACCCATGATCTTGAATACATATCCCTTAAACTCCTGCCAATATTAAGGAAAAATTCATTTAAGAATAGTTTCTTTAGTCAACAAACGGAATAGTAGATTGTTGCAATGTGGCAATACCTCTCCCAAAGCATCACCACTGACTTCTTGAGAGATTCTCTTGTCATAAAAGGCACGACTGCATTATTGAGATATTTAAACTTTTATAAGTTAATGATTCAATGAAATGGCATTTGGCATTAGGCCATTAGCTGCACTACACCAATTCTCCAAGTGGAATATAGAAAAACTACTGATTGTACATAATAGAATCTTTGTATTTACAAAAGCTGGACCTTGTGGCTAAAACTGTTCCCACCAAAGAATTACAAATTACACGTGACACAAGCAGATTAGATATAAAAGTAATGCCTGCCATTAAAAAACCTACGTTGTACATCGCAGAAAAAGAAAATTGTGCCACACTCTAAGATAACATCTGAAAAGTCCTATGAATTGTACACATGGCAATAAGATGTATCTAGATTTCTGGCAGTTTCTTTTAAGCGATTTCCATTCAGCACACTAAATGGACTGCTCTGGACAGTTTCCTGGCCTCACATCCTCTGCATATACACCAGTACATGCATGACATTATAAATACCTTTTTATAGCTTCAATTTGACATTATAGTTGTATGAACTCTGTTGCAGTGGTAGAGCAGAAGATAACAAGATATCATGAACAAACTCCACTAATTATTTAGGCATCTATATATGTACGGATTTCCAAAAATACAGGATCCCTAATTCTTTCATTATAACCAAACAAACTATTAAAGATACACAGCTACTAATAATGGTAAAACAGATAATTTACATACATGTATTAGGCATCTATATATGTATGGATTTCAAAAAATACAGGATCCCTAATTTGCAACACATTATTTTATCAATTTCCTGGAAAGCATACGTATTTCTAATTAATGAGTTATAAACTTACAATAACCATGTAATGAAGCACAACAAACTCCAAGAAGAATGTGGCGATGAGTGATAACAAGCTATAAATGTCATTATGGAAACGAGTGAGAGATGTGCACATTAATCAATGGCTTAATTCCAGAATACAGAACCACGACATGTAAAGGTATTGAATATAAATCAGCAAAAGATATGTTTCATGTTGAAAATCTATCCATCCGAAAATCAGATATTTACAGATTATTATTTTATAAATTATAAATAATTTGAATGAAACTAATATAAGTTCATATACTTTTCCAAGAAATAGGGCATACAGTTTACTGAAATAGGGCATACAGTTTACTGAAATAGGGCACACAGTTTACTGATAAAATAACGTGATGCACACTATATGATGATGAAACGTGTATCGCATGCCAATAAGCAATCGAAATTTACTGAAATGAGTCTAGACATACAGTTTCTGTTCATCATCAATCTCTAGCTTCTTCTGGCAACCCGTAGTCGGGTTTGCAATGTTGAACTACATAACAGCAACAAGAAACAGGGTGAGAATAGATTCGATAGCGAACAATAAAAATCAACAGTGACATACCTTCATCTTCGCTACCTGGAAAAGAGAACTCGCTCTGGAAAAGAGAAGTGTCTGCGCTCACTCCAAGCTTAGGGTTTTGTTATTAGTACGAAGGAGTATAGGATAGTATTTAATGGACCAAAGTAGGGTTATGCAGTTAGTCATGCGTATGCGTTTGACCCACTTTTAAAATGGGCCGATTGATAGGCAAATTCTAAAGTGGTAATTACCCATATAGTCCACTTTAAGATCCCACATACTTCGTAGAAATTTTGGTTCAAAGATTGAACCAGTATGTAGTTGGTCCTTTTCCGATTTGGACTGCTGGTCTAATTTGATTCAATTTTGTCAACCCTATTTGTAGCATGCATATATCGATGTTGTAAAAACCGGACTGGAGAGCGACCCGGTCGAATGATTGGGTCACGGGTCAACCCGGACCCGGAGGGTCAATCCGGTCAACTCCGAAAAACCCAATCAACATATAAATTAAATTATTATTTACAATGTACAAATTTTAACAAAATATGAAATGTATTTTAAATGAAATGGACAATGAATACATATGCTTTTTAAAAAATATTAAATATAATATAAATGTTTTCACTTATTATAATTTGGAGTAGTAAGTAGTGTTTATTAGTAATGTTATATTTTTATTTTTATGATTATTGGTTATCTACCAAGTAATAGTACGTAGATATTGATTAAAACACAATTATATAACAAATACAGTTAAAGAGAGCAGCATAACAACTTCCCATAGCAGATGGATGGTTGGCGTCCGTATTGTCAAGTCGTTCAGCTGGGTTCGATCCCCTCTCGCGACTAGTTTTTGTAAAGCATATATCCGGGTTTTACCCAATTTCCGGCTTTCAGCCGGTCGGGTCGCGGTCCGGTTATGACGGGTCAAGTGGGTTATGCGGGTTTAGACACATTAACGGGTTGATTGCCAACGGGACCGGTTTGGGCTCCGGGTGGCCGGGTTCCGGGTCGACCCGGTCCGGTCCGGTTCTTTCAACACAGGCATATATTTGGCGATGAATAACAATTATTTTCTTTTTTTCACTTTTAAACTTTTCTTTTTTTTAATAATGTTTTTTTATTTCACTTTTAGATTGGTTTTACCGACCGCCACCACAGTCCACAATATTTGGAGGAATATAAGAGAGACGGACGGTACTTTCTCGTTGCCCTGAAATAATCTAGAAGAGTCGACGGAGGCAAGGATATCGGCGTTACTGGCATGTAATCGACAATGGAGTTGAGTTTGGATTCTTCCTTGCTCTAGTGTAGTCAGGTAGCCAAGAGATTGTTCTGATGGTCTCAAACTGTGAACAAATAGTGGATGCCTCCATATGTTTCTATTGCAGATCGGAGAGTGGATCTTCCTTCCTCTAGCGTCCAGGCGAGAGCTTTTTCGGTGAAGAATAGAATTCACCTTCTTCGCATTAGTCATCACTTGAAAAGTCAGATCTAATTGTTAATATTTTTCGTGAGAATTTGACTTTGCACGCCACTTTTTGAGTGATATTTGACTTAGCGCCCCATTTTAAAAAGTCTTTGATTTTGCACCCTGTTAGAACTTTTATTGTGAGTCAAGTTTTTCTGTAATGTCTTGTTTAATAAAGTAGACTAGTTATACTTTTTATGGTATTAGATTAATAATCATTTTGTAATAAATGGGTTAAAGGGAATAAGGCCCAAAAAGGCCTTGGCCCAAACCCCAAGGTTTACCTAATTCGGTAACCTGTACAGCGCCGATAAATATGCGCGTTCTGTACAGGTACCGATATCGATTAATACACTCTAGCCTTACGCTGCCAAAATTCTTCTCGATATAATAGAAAGACGACTTCCAAGTTCTCGATATTTCATTAATCATTCTGTGAGATCGTTCTTCTCTATTATTCGATGATATCCATCTAGCTGTGTGTTAGTCTACAGAAATCTGGTACCAACAACTGGTATCAGAGCCTGCTTGAGTGTGATCTTCGTCAAAAAGTTTTCGAAGTCCCCTGTTTTTCGTGTTTTCGATATTTTACTTATTTAATCGTTGTAATCTCTCTTCTAATGGAAAAATTGTAAAATTTATACTGTTGAAATCGCCTCTAAAAAATGAGCAAGCAGTATATCTTAGATTTTTGATTTGTTAAGGTTTCAGATTTGAGGTTCTCGATATATTGATATCGAAAAGCAGGGTTCTCGAAGTTACAGCAGGTTTTTCGAGCTACAAACAGCACAAGAAGGTTTTCGAGATCAAGGACTTCAGCGAAAAGCAATTTTATCTGTTTAAAAACTGTTTTTCAATTTGCAGGATTTCGAATCTACGTTCTCGATACTAGTTCTTGAACTGAGTTCTCGAGGTTTCACTTCTCGATACTCAGTTTTCGATATTATATCTCGATATCTGGTTTCTCGACTTTGCAGGTTCTCGACAGATCTTCTCGATAGTCAGCTTCTCGAAATCAAGTTCTCGAACTGAGGTTTTCGAAACTGACTTCTCGATAAGAACTTCTCGAATCTAGCTTCTCGATAAATTGGTTTTCGATATTTATATCGAAAACTGCTTCTCGATACAGTTTCTCGAACTCTACTTCTCGAACTATTTTCTTGAACTAGGTTTTCGATATTCTGTAAGTTAACCTTTCTGATCAAATCACTCGAACGGTGTTTTAAAGTCAAACAGCAAGGATGGAAGCATTGGCACTTGGAAATGAAAACAGACCTACAATCCTGAGGAGAGGAGAATATCAGATGTGGAAGACAAGGTTCCTAAACTTTCTGGAAGGTAAAGACAACTCGTCTGCAATGCTGGAATCGCTTACTGAAGGACCAACACAAATCTGGATGGATGTGACTTCAGATGGTGTAAGCAATCCTCCCGTTACTGTTGAAAGAAGATTGAAAGCAAAATCCGAGTACACTGAAGCAGACAGACTCAGAGTCAGGGCAGATCTGATGGCTAAAACGTACCTGCTCCAAGCTATTCCTAATGACATATACATACTGATTGACAGCATGGAAACAACTAAGGAGATGTGGGGTGAAATTAAAAAACTAATGATTGGAACTGATTTGGGTTTGAAGACGAAGAAGGCAAACATCCTGACTGCCTATGATGGATTTAAAGCTCTACCTGGTGAGGCGCTCCATGAAACATATAACAGATTTGTACAACTGATCAATGAGATGAGAAAGATCAAGGTTGTCAAATCAAACATGGAAATGAACATACGCTTCTTGTCGAGCCTGCCACCATAATGGAGAAGGACTGTGAAGAACTTGCGACAACACCTGGACTTGGATGAACTTGACCTGTGTACCGTACATGAACATCTGCAACAGTTTGTAAATGATACTGCTGAGATGGAAGGAAGCTTCTCTGGTAATCCATTGGCAATTGTTATGGAAGCTCAACCTAAGAGTTCATCCAAAGGTCAGAAGAAAAAGAAGACAATTGTTGTGATGTCTGAAGAGGAAGATAGTGAGGAAGAGGTTGATGTAGAATCAGAACTGGCCGAACTGAAGAAGAAGATAGCCTTACTGACCAACCAATTCAATAAACGATTTTTGAAGAAAGGAAGCTCTTCCAATAAACTCTGAACTTCCTCTGCCAACTACAAATCAAAGAACAATGATCAGAACTCCTCTAGTAGAGCTGTTGCAGCGGAAGACCCTCCCAAATGCTTCAATTGCGGAAAAGCTGGACATGTTATAAAAGACTGTCGCTTGCCAAGAAAGAGGGACTTCAACTACTATAAGCAGAAAATGATGTGGAACAAGCAGAAAATGTTCATGGTTAAACAAGATGATGACAATGCTGCAACGCTCACTGAGGGAGATCCATGGCAGGAGGAGAGTTCTGACGATGAAGAAGGAGAAAACTTGGCCCTGATGGCTATTGTTGAAAAGGAGGAAGAAGAAAAGGGTGATGCTGCGATCCCCAGCGGAAGTTCAAGCTCAAACCACACTGTAAGTACTTCTGAAACTTCTTGCTCTTGTACATGCAAAGTTCATTCTTTTCAAGAAAAAGATGACATTATAAAGAAGTTAAGAGACAGGTTAGATCACAATTACAAAAACCTTCTCACAAAACTTGACAGAATTTCCTCATTAAGCGTACAACTTGATAATGAAAAGGACATGCTGAAGAAGCGAAATTCAGAAGCAGAAATGCTTACACAGAAAGTTGCAGAACTCACTAAGAAGTTGAGTGAAACTGAAGTAGAACGAAATTGTGAGAAAGGCAAAAAGGATATGCTATTTGATAAAATAACCATTCTTTATAGAAAAATCAAAGAATTACAAGATTTAATTGCCAAAAGAGGGCAGTCTGAGCAAACCATTTTTCTAAATCAGAACAAGGACACTCGTTTTTACAATTCTAAAGAAGGTCTTGGCATCACAAATCCTCGTAATCTGAAAAAGATCAATTGCCGTCAGCTTTATGATATCAATTACATGGGTTTGGGATTGACCAAGTTGATGCTCTTTGTCGGAGCAAAAGAAACTGCTGAAGAAGAAGAGACAAAGAGATCAAACCCTTCTAAAGCTGAGGTTCCGTTCAATTATGACTCTTTAAATGAAAGCTATGCTACAAAAGAACCAGTTTTCTCACATGATGAGAGTGTTAGTCCTTATCCTTCTGGGACAGAAGTTGTGTCAGATCCAGAACCTCCTTCAACCTCTAATTCTGAAAAAGAGGAAGAACCCTATATCCCTCCACTGATAAGAAAATTTGAAAAACTTCACATTTCTTTAGAAGAACAAAGAAAAGTTTTTGAAGAAGAAAGAAAAAGCTTTGAAAGTGAAAGGGATAGGTTGCTAAATGAATTAACTCTTTTAAAATAAAGTTCTCGATCCAACACAACTTCTCAATCATCTAGTGATACTGATATTTCTCAACCTATTCAAGACAAAACTAACTTTTTCAAAAAGGCATCCACTCACTCCAACTCTCCTTTGAAAAAAGGAAATGAAGTGAGTATGAGAGTGGAGAGGAGAAGAGAGTGGAAGCTAAAGAGAGCTGAGATAGCTGAAGGGAGGAAGAAGATGTTTTCTGAAAATAAGAAGTCTTGTTCTAGTGCTGTTTTTTATTCAAACAAATGTCGTTCTAGTTCTTTGACACCACCATGTAGTTCTGCTTCAGTCTCGTGTCCCGAGCTGAATGAATCTGATTTTACTTCAGATCCACGTTATTTCAATAACAAGTTGTATGCTCCTAGGTTGGGAAATACTTGTTTTAATGATTCTGATTATGAATGTCTTGTGAACTCTGT